AACAAGCTCTCTTTCAAAAACTTTAAAATGAAATATAATTCTAAAAGCATAAATTGAAGAAATATTAAAATGTGTTGATTTTAGAAATGTTCCACTTTAGCTTGATGAGAGTAAACTTAATATTTTAAATTATTTATATGTTTATGATGTATTATAAAATTCATTACTCTTATAAATTTCAAATACTTTGCAAGTCATCTTAACCATCACATATGGTTGAGGTCATATCACACAGTTGTGACGTCCCTCACCGCTCGACTACAATCATCACTAACTACCAACTTCTAGTGTTATATTGACCTCATTTCACTTAAAAGTAAAATGCAAAGATAATCATATAATTACCTTAAACTTAATCAAATGTTGTTAAAATTTAATTTTGATCTCCCATTAATTTGGTTTTGGAATTTGATCTCTCATTTCGTTCCTATAATGAGATTCTAGAGCCCACTGAGCCAAAGCGTACAACTCCAACAAATAACACTGAGGCGCTCATCTTTCAAGCCCCCGGTTAATATATATATAGAGAGAGAGAGAGAGAGCAGACATTATATTATGGTGTCGATTTCATAAAATGTTCCTCTCATTTATAGATAAAATTACACAATAATGATATTTTATTTATGTCCTTATTTGAAGGGGTTCGTTGTTAGAGTATTTTTTTTATTTTGTTTGTATGATTTATCCTATGGCTGTTTCAAGGGATTACCAACTAAGCTTAATTGGTTTCGCGTCGACGATGTAAGCTCGATTGACTGAACTTGATCAATATGGTATGGTTATCCAGCTTGGTTGATTATCCTTGATCTCAGATGAGAAACTTGATATACTTTATGGAATTGGATCTTTCTATATACTGCCTATACTGGTGGGGTGGGGTAGACTATCACATTAAGTTAATTTTCTAGTGGCTGGCTCGGTCGATCGTTTTCTTGTTTATTTCTTAGCTGAGCCGGTTTTGGCCTGGTTTGCTTGGCTTGTTTGGTTAGAAGGTCCCCATGATCTCCTAGTTGTGGGTCTGCTTTCACCATGTATTTTTTTTTCTCATTTGGACCATTAGATCTCCTCAATATCACTACATACACCTTTTTAATGTATATATTTTAGTTTTTCACTTATTAAAAGTGATGTTTCAATAATAATAGGAGAATTAATTGCCAAAATAGGTTTCTTTTATTTTTGATTAATGATTAGATAATTGAATTCACTTATTTTCACATTTTTATAAGGCATTGGAAATCCTTCCTTAGGCCTTATCCTCTTTGTGCTTTCTTTTGTTTCAGTTAGTTGCCCTTCATATCGTCTTCATCGTGATGGACAAGATGAATGATAAAATGACCAGCTATTAGAACTTCATTCTAAGCTTGATTGTTAGTAACCTCAAACTCCACCTCTATTGAATGATAAAATGATCATTGATAGGGTTGGTGAAGGTGAAACAAAGACCCGCCCCAACGTTATTGGTTGCTCTGTTGATGTACAATATCTTAGTTTAGTCGTGCTTGCTCCTTTATCTTCATGTTTGTTTGGCTCAAAAAAGTTAGCCATGTAATCAACTATCATCGAGCTTTGATGGCTAGTCTCAGGATGTATGACAAGTCGAATTCACCGAGCTCCATTACCCATTTTAGGAGTCGCCAAGAGTGTTTCATCTTTGGGAAGATATACTTGAGTGGATGGTCGGTGATAACCCATTGAAGCCTGCGAGTGGAGACAATAAGAGGAAAATTTAGCTTTTTCATTATAGGATACCTGAGCTCGACACCTGAAAGGACTCGATTAGCATAATACACCGAGAATTGCTTCTTTTGCTCTTGTTGAACTAAAATTAAGCCAGCTGCTATTGTGCTGATCTTTACGTAAAAGGAAGTTTCTCGTTCGGCTCAGGACTTTGCAAAAGTGGGGGTCATGCTAGCGAGTCTTTTAATTTTTTGAATGTCTGCTCACATTCATTTGACTATATGAAATTCTTTGTTCATCTAAAGGTTCAAAAGAAAACAACACACTTGTCTCCTAATTTTTAGATGAATTGGCTCAGTGCTGCAAAATAGCATGTTATTTTGTTAACTTCCTTAGTGTTTCAGAAGGACTATGTCAATCAATGCCTGGATCTTTTATGGGTTAGATTTTTTCTCTTTAGGGTTAGAAGATAGCCTAAAAATTTGTCTGTGAATACTCTAAATGTGCACTTAAGAGGATTATGCTGCATGTTAATTTTTTTAAGGTCTCAAAAGTCTTTCAAATATTTTGTATTGTTCATGACTTTTACGTTTTATTAAGATAATATCCATGTATATTTCAATAGTTCTTTCTTTCTGCTTGACAATAATTACATTTATCATTCACTGCTAACTCCAATGTTTCTCAGCCTGAAGGGCCATACACTATAGCAATACACTATATAATTTCTTAAATTTTAATGTGATTTGCCAATAGAAATTTACAAATACAAATGTTCAAATAAATTTATAATAATGCTTTTATCGTTTTATTAAGCACTTTCAACCACTTACATATCCAATATCCAAACACAAAACTTTTAATTTTTTTACTTGGTAAAATTTTGTATTTACATAAATAACTTAACAAACAACACTGAGGCGCTCATCTTTCAAGCCCTCGGTTAATAGAGAGAGAGAGAGAGAGAGAGAGAGCAAACATTATATTATGGCGTCGATTTCATAAAATGTTCCTCCCATTTATAGAGAAAATGATGCAATGATGATATTTTATTTCTGCCCTTATTTGAAGGGGTTCGATGCTAGAGTTTTTTTTTTTTTTTTTTTTTTTTTTTTTTTTTTTGTGTTTTTCCTTTTTATCCTATGACTGTTTGAAGGGATTACCAACTAAGCTTAATTGGTTTCGCGTCACGATGTAAGCTCGATTGACTGAACTTGATCAATATGGTATGGTTATCCAGCTTGGTTGATTATCCTTGATCTCAGATGAGAAACTTGATATACTTTATGGAATTGGATCTTTCTATATACTGCCTATACTGGTGGGGTGGGGTAGACTATCACATTAAGTTAATTTTCTAGTGGTTGGCTCGGTCGATCGTTTTCTTGTTTATTTCTTAGCTGAGCCGGTTTTGGCCTGGTTTGCTTGGCTTGTTTGGTTAGAAGGTCCCCATGATCTCCTAGTTGTGGTATGCCTTCACCATGTATATTTTTTTTTCTCATTTGGACCATTAGATCTCCTCAATATCACTACATACACCTTTTTTATGTATATATTCTAGTTTTTCACTTATTAAAAGTGATGTTTCAATAATAATAGGAGAATTAATTGCCAAAATAGGTTTCTTTTATTTTTGATTAATGATTAGATAATTGAATTCACTTATTTTCACATTTTTATAAGGCATTGGAAATCCTTCCTTAGGCCTTATCCTCTTTGTGCTTTCTTTTGTTTCAGTTAGTTGCCCTTCATATCGTCTTCATCGTGATGGACAAGATGAATGATAAAATGACCAGCTATTAGAACTTCATTCTAAGCTTGATTGTTAGTAACCTCAAACTCCACCTCTATTGAATGATAAAATGATCATCGATAGGGTTGGTGAAGGCGAGACGAAGGCCCACCCCAACGTTATTGGTTGCTCCGTTGATGTACAATAACTTAGTTTAGCCGTGCTTGCTCCTTTATCTTCATGTTTGTTTGGCTCAAAAAAGTTAGCCATGTAATCATCGAGCTTTGATGGCTGGTTTCAACATGTTTGACAAATCGAATTCACGGAGCTCCATTACCCATTTTAGGAGTTGCCAAGAGTGTTTCATCTTTGGGAAGATATACTTGAGTGGATGGTCAGTGATAACCCATTGAAGCGTGCAAGTGGAGACAATAAGAGGAAAATTTAGCTTTTCCATTATAGGAAACCTGAGCTCGACATCTCAAAGGACTCGATTAGCATAATACACTGAGAATTGCTTCTTTTGCTCTTGTTGAATTAAAATTAAGCTAGCTGCTATTGTGCTGATCTCTACGTAAAAGGAAGTTTCTCGTTCGTCTTTTGCTCTTGTTGAACTAAAGACTCGCTAGCTGCTAGCGAGTCTTTTAATTTTTTGAATGTCTGCTCACATTCATTTGACTATATGAAATTCTTTGTTTATCTAAAGTTTCAAAAGAAAGCAACCCACTTGTCTCCTAATTTTTAGATGAATCGGCTCAATGCTGCAAAATAGCATGCTATTTTTTTAACTTTCTTAGTGTTTCAAAAGGACTATGTCAATCAATGCCTGGATCTTTTATGAGTTAGCTTTTTTCTCTTTGGGGTTAGAAGATAGCCTAAAAATTTGTTTGTAGATACTCTAAATGTGCACTTAAGAGGATTATGCTGCATGTTAATTTTTTTAAGGTCTCAAAAGTCTTTCAAATATTTTGTATTGTTCATGAATTTTACGTTTTACTAAGCTAATATCCACGTATATTTCAATAGTTCTTTCTTTCTGTTTGACAATAATTATATTTATCATGCACTGGTAAGTATCTCTAATGTTACTCAGCCTGAAGAACAGTACACTATAACAATACACTATAATTTCTTAAATTTTAAGGAGATTTGCCAATAGAAATTTTCAAATAAATTTATAATAGTGTTTTTATCGTTTTATCAAGCAATTTCAACCACTTACATGTCCAATATCCAAACACAACTTTTAATTTTACTTGGTAAAATTTTGTATTTACATAAATAACCCTAAACAATTTAGTATTGCATCATAAATTGAACTACTAAAATTGTAAAAATAAGGTACACATTTTCATAAATCCACCAAAACATAATAAACATAAACATTTAAATGATATGATAAAACACAATAAATAAATAAATCCAAGTAAATTATAAATACAAAATCTAAATTTACAAGTTTATAACTTATATTATTTGATAAAATTTAATAATTATTAATATACTCATTAAGTCATCATCATATTGAGCCCTTTAAAAATAGCGGGTCTCTTCCTAAAATATTTAAATATACTAATAATGGCTCTTAATTATTTAAATGAATTTAATTATTACATAAATACACTAATTCGATTATTATTTAATTGAGCCCTTTCGAGGTAGAAGGGCTCTTCCAAAAATTGGCGGGCAAAAGCCAACCTTAACGGAATAACTCTCGCTCGCCTTAAAAAATGTGTTCGAGTTTTAAGGTGTCGGCACGACCCGTCGTCTCTAAACGATCATTGACGAGTCGCCTTTCACCCCACGACAGGACGGGCAAGCCCTAATCTTCTGCCTCCTCGTTATATTTATAGCCGTATGCATCCCCTCGAAACATTTTTTTCGCGATGTGGGATTATTCCAGTGGCGCGGTACACATTCTCTCGCACTGCCCTGCCGACCGAGGGAAGGGATCCAAGTTCTTGCCCTCTCCTACCAGAAACCCTCGAGGAAGGTAACCCTCGTCTTTCTCCCCCTGCCTACCCCCGGCATTCGCGCGCTTCATCTTCTCTAAATCAAGTAAATCGGCCTTCCAACACGATTTACTAGGCGCTGTTTGGTAGCGGGATTTGAGATTCCTGCCAAACTGCAAAAAAATGAATCGGTAAATCCTGAGCTATTGTGGCGATTCATGTCGCGTTCGCAAACAAGTAATTTTTCTTCTTTCCGCTGGCTCCACCTCGACAGCCGCAATCCCGTATCCCTTCGCTTTACTCTTTGGTGAAGTCACAGCCGCTGCATCGATTCGGGTTCTTAAATATCCTGTAAATTACCGTAATTGTATCCGTTTCTTTTACTTCGCATGCATTTGACTGGCATTCCATAGCTTTTTAATTTCTATCCCTATCAGCTGGTGATGAGCTTTTCTGTTTCAGTCATTGACATCATTGATATTCAATCACTGAGTCAATGTTATAGTGAACCAAATAATACTTGGTTTCTTTAATCTAATAAAATGTAGCTCTTTTGTTAAAAGATTTACATAATAAATGATCTAGGAGTTGCAGAGAATGATGAATGTTATATGATTCAGAGCATTTTATTTTTTCCACTATTTCTTGTCTTTAGAGAAAAACTTATTATGTTTTAGTTTACCTTTTGGATGAAAAACAGCGACCTGTGCTTACATTGAAGTTTCATCAAAAGTTATATTTACATAGGTTAGATTCAACCATTTAAATCCTGATTAGTCTCAAAATAGATCGCCTTTAAGCACATTCATGGACAAGAACTCCAATTCTGTCCCTTAAATAACGCTTGCAACTAACTTGACGGGAAGTGCATTCTTTCCTTCTTGCATTTTTTAATCGTTTAGGTTAAGAAATCCTGAATTTAATTTAACTCTTAAGCATATTGCATTGTTAACTCTACTCATCTTAGTTGTTGGGAAGTTAGCCCATTCATTTTTAGTAATGTCTATAGCTTGCTGATTGAAAAAGTAAGCCATGGCTGAGGGTTGATGATACTTTAGTTGCCTCTCTCAATAACAATTATAGTAATGATTAATGAGAATGAGTTATTGTTAAAAAAATTTAAGTTTGTTGAAGTGATGTGGGAACCTTTTGGATTGGCGAAGCGTTTAAAAGAAAAGGCTGAATAGTTTTTATTTTCAAACTAATAGCTAAAACATTTTTGCAATGTTTGGGCATATTTTCTTTAATAGAAAATATTGAGGATCTTTAGATCATAGGTTTGGATGTTAGTTAATTAAAATATGTGATTTTAAATCAATTATATGTGTAATTAGAAAATTAGGACTTTTTCAAGTGAACATATCACAATAGTTAAAAAGGTAAATTAAGATTTTAAAGGTTCATGACTCACAAGCAATGAGTCCAAGACTTTGATCCACTTGATAAGGTCAATTGTTGGTTTTTTTGTAGGTAGCTTTAGCAGCCTTTATTTGGCTTCCTCGAAGTTTGGCCTTACGACTGTCTTTATTGTTGCAGCTTGACTATATTTTTCTTGTTTAGTTGTGTATTGCTGTTTGTGTAATCAAATCAAGTGTAGAATTATATAAATTTTTACTTTATGTTTTAGAGTTGTTTGAGTTATATCATGTTGCTTGTTTAATTTATGCTTTCCTATTTCATATTGAGGTCTACTTATAGTTTTCATATTTGAATTGATGTTGGAATAATTTTTTTTTTTGGAACTTGCATTTAAATCAATAATTAGATAGCATTTGCAAATAGATCACATTATGTCAATCATTGATTAACTAAACGACACAAACAGATTACACATATTTAGCTGGCTAGTGTAGAGATCAAATTTGCTTAAAAGTCATCTACTGTCTAGTTATTAAGTAATTTTTTATTTATGAGTGACTGAAATATGGCATGGGCTCTATAAGCAACCAAATTATGATATTTTGATTGGCCTAACTACCAACACTGCAGAATCATCAGCATCCTCCGGATGACCACTGGGCCGTACTTTTATTCTAGAGTTTATAGCACAACTGGTTGGGTTAGAAAAACCATGGGCCTCAAGTTGTGGTTTGGAAATTGTTCTTTTTAGTTGAAATTTGTTCATTTGCTTCAAAGTTGGGTTAGAGCAAGGGGTTTTCAAGCTCGCCTGTTTACATAACTATTACATGAATTATTTTCCAGAATACGGTTTCAAGCTCGCCTGTTTAAGTAACTATTACATGAATTGTTTTCCAGAATACATAAGATTTGTACGTTTTCCTTGTGATAATAGTGTTATTTCTTTCTTATCATTACCAAGTTTTAAGCAGAATTCATTAATAATTTAATCTCACGTCTTGGTTAAAGGCTGGTGCTAGTCATTTGATTATCACATAACAGTTGCTTCGTTTTGATGTGATATTTTTCTCATCATGCTTCACATATATGTGTTTCCGAAAGGCATCAAACTTCCTTGAAAAAATTTTGGCAACGGACAACAAAGTTCTTCATTTAACAGTAGTGAATGACACTTATTGCAAACTTCTTCATTAAATTAAATCCTATTAAAGTTGCCAAACAATTTCTCTGTATTTAATCACCAACATTTTAAATAGTTTTATAGGATTTAACCATCTCAAGATTTGATAAATCCGGATTTACAGGATTTATCAAATTCTATTTAAACTAAATCCTACTTGCTGTCAAACAGTCCCTAAATCCTGGATTTAAGTCAAAGCAGAGGAAATACGTGATTTAAGAATCTGTAGGATTTAAAGATGTCATTTTTGCCGTTTGGCAGGATTTAGGTTAAAATCTTGCTTAAATCCTGTTTCCAAACAGCCCCTTAATCTTGGTGATTTATCTACTAGCTGATTGTCCGATTTGTTTCTTATTGTTCTTTGTATTGAGTCTCGCTCAGAGGTGGGATTTATTTTGACTTGGAAAGTATTTTTTTTAGTGTTTTCTTCAGAGAGTGAGAATGGAGGCCAAACCTAAAAAGCAGAAGCAGTCATCAATTCAGACTGTTGAGACTGTTGAGATGATCCATGATGACTCGAAGTATGCCTTGCTCTTCATTAATTTCATTTGAACTTTGTTGTTTTATTTTTTCATTTTAATTTATATATTTTTTATCATCATAAACACTTTGAAAAAAGAATTATTTTTTGTCTTATTGTTCAATTGTATAGCTTGAATGGAAAGGGAAGCAATGCGCTCATTTTACCGGGAAAGAAAAGGAGGAAAACGGAAGGCAAGGAGAAGGTATTATTAACTGAGAATTTTTCTCTATGTATTGTTGGTGAATTTAGCCCCAATTCCATGTCTGATTTGTAATTTTTTGAAACTGAAACTAAGAACTTTATTTGCTTCTTTTCCTAAAGGTTTCTAGGAGGAATAAGACTACAGTTTCCCCAGCTATTAGTAAAAGCAAGCAGAGAAAGCTTCAGAAGTTGCAGGTTTGCATGGATTTACTTCTGAATTGATTTGATTGTAATGATTTAGTACTGTATGCTGTGGTGATTATTTTTTTTAAAATGAATTTCAGGAGGAGAAAGAGAAGAAATTGATGCTATGTAAAAGCATAAGAATGCTACAGTATGTCATCTGCATGATTTCAATATTTCTAGATCTGTTAATTGTCAGGAAGCTTTACATACATACAACTCAATTCTTATGTATTTACATATCTAACACCTATGCTTCAAAATTTACATATAATCCACCTTTTCTATGCATGAAAAGGTATATTATAAAAGTTAAAATAGTAATATTTTTGATGTGATATGAAAGATTTACTGATATAAATGCAAAAACTAAAGGTTAGATGTCAGATATGTAAATACATAGGAATTGGGTGGTAGTATGTTAATACCCCTAATTGTTATCATGTAGTTTTCCTTTTTCTACTTCATTTTAGCATGCACGTTTGCTTCTTGTTGCTAATTTTAAAATGATCATTCATTTTGAATTGCTCAGGAAGTATAAGATAAGCGATGAAGCATACTCAATTCTGCAGTCATCAGGCACCATTGGTCAGGTATGAAATAATTATTTCTTTGGAAAATTTAAATACATACCATACAGGCCTTATATATTTACATATCTAACACCTAAACTTTCATATTTACATTTATAACACCTTGGTGTGATAAACCTATGCATTAAAAGGTGTATTTAACTTTTTAAAAATAGGTGATTATGGTATTTTTTATATGATATTAAAGATTTGAGTGCTATGCATGTAAATATTGAAGTTTGGGTGTTGGATATGTAAATACATAAGAATTGCATGGTATGCATGTAAATGCACTTTTTTTTTATTGCTGGGAAATATTTTTGTTTTGAAAGCTTCATGCATTATAAATTGAAATGTAGGCAGAAACTTTGCGTGAAAAACGCAGACTTGCTATACATTTCTCAAAAGCCGGTCTTGAGGTGCCCGATGACATCTCACTTTTCAACAAGAAGGAAAAAAAAATTTCTGAAAATGTGAAAATTTTAGAGAAAGATGTTGAAAACGTTTCTCCTACTGCTGGACCTATGATGGTTGCTGATGATTCGAAACAACATTCTTTGCAAAACCGATTGGATATCACCATGAAGAATTCGATGAGTGTGGATGATGAATCCGATATGTTGTCAGACATTAATGGTGCAACGAAGGTTAGTGGTGGCTTTGTTGATGGTGTGAAGAGCTTTATACCTTCATCTCTTACTACTGATAGTCAAAGTGATGCAAGGATTCAGGTGAGTGCTTGTGCATGTGTAACTCTATCTTTAACACTTGAATCCTTTTTGCTTATTTTTTATGGAAATTTATATACATAGCACACAATTCTTATGTATTTATACATATCTCACACCTAAAGTTTTATATTTACATACATAGCCCTTTGGTGCTTTAAACCTATGTATACAAAGGTGTATTTCACTTTTAAAAATTGATAAAAGTGCTAATGTGATATTAAATGTTTGAGTGCTATATGAAATATGAAATCTTAGGTAAGAGATATGTAAATATAATAGAATTGTGTGCTAAGTATCTGAATGCCCCTATTTTTTAATGACTTAATTTACTTTTTCACTTTATCATAGAGCATTGATTGTTTAGGGCATTTACATACATGCCGCCCAATTCCTATGTATTCACAAATCTACCATTGAAATTTTGTGTTTTATATTTACACTACCTAAATCTTTCATTTCACATCCAGAATACTACCAATTTAACTTTTAAAAAATGAAATATATATTTTCATGCACCTTTTGATGCATAGGTAACACAGTATGCATGTAAAATTGAAATTTAAGTGTTAGACAATCAAATGCATAAGAATTGATTGTTATTTATGTAAAACTTCCTTTAAAGATTTTCTAAGCATGTACTCTAATGCCTACTGCTTCTCCTTTCTAATCCCTTGACCTTTTACTAGCTGGGACACATCGAGGAAATGTTTCCCCTGCTTACTTTATTGAATGATTCAGCGACTCAGTTTCTTCCTATTTTTCTATAGGAGCAGGAGTTAAGTGGAGCTAATATTTGTGCTCGAAAACATGAAGCCCCTAAGCCTCGTGCTACCGTCGGCCATGTAAATTCTTCCATTGTAGTGCATGTATCAAGGCCGCTCGAAGTTGAAGCGCAAAGGAAACATCTTCCAATCATTATGATGGAACAGGAGATAATGGAAGCAATCAATGAGCACTCTATTCTCATTTTGTGTGGAGAAACAGGTTGCGGTAAAACAACACAAGTTCCTCAGGTGCGTTTTTTTAGGAGCCATTTGGGATCACTTTAGTTTTCTATTTTTTATTTTTTTTTGTTTTTATTTTAATTTGTTTATGTTTTGATTTTAAACAAAATATGATTGGCATATTTGATTAAGATATGATTGTTTTTGAAAACACTCCAAGCATCTAAAATTTATTTTGAGTATTTTCAAAAGTATGTTTATATGTTTTTTTTTTTAAATAAAATTATACAAAACACATTAAGCAAATGTGTTTTTAAAAATAAAAGAAAAAATAAAAATTAAAACCAAAACAAAATTGATCCCAAACAAGCCCTTAGATTCTCTTAACAAGCTAATGAAATTTTGATGTTAAGAAAACATTTTATTTTATTTGATGTATGAGTAAAGTGCTAAAATAGTCCCCTATCTATTTATATGTGGTTATTTTGGTCCTAGAGTCTATAAAAGTGGCAAATTAGTCCCCAGACAATTTTAATTTGTGATGAAATAATCCACAGGGAGGACTATTTTAACCTCAATTAAAAAGGTCCGGGGATTAAATTGATATTTTTATAAACTCTGTGGCTAAAATGACTCCTGATGAAGAGTAAGAGGATCACTTTGACATTTTTTTTCTCTATATTATATTTCGATTGTTTCAATATCATTTGCAGTTTTTGTATGAAGCTGGCTATGGTTCGAGCAACCACAATAATAGGAATGGAATTATTGGGATTACTCAACCACGTCGTGTCGCTGTTCTTGCCACGGCAAAGAGAGTTTCCTATGAACTTGGTTTCCAACTCGGTAGGGAAGTTGGTTTTCAAGTTAGGCATGACAAAATGATAGGGAATGCTTGCTCAATCAAGTTCATGACTGATGGCATTTTACTTAGAGAAGTTCAGGTATTTATTATATATTTATCTTAACATTTTTTTATGCAAGTGTTTTTAGTTAGCTTGTTTGTGTGTCATGAAATTTTTATGCGGTATTTACTTAGAAACCAATTCTTATGTATTTATATATCTATCACCTAAACTATATCTTTCATATCACATAAAAAATATAAAAATGAAATACACCACTTCATGCGTAGGTAAAATTGAAGGTTAGGTGTTAGATATGTAAATACAGAGGAATTAAGTGGTATCCATGTAAATCTTTTGATTTTATTCCAGAAGCCACACCATAATCGCTTACCTTGATGGTAGCAGTCTTGATTTATGGGAATGATTATTTTAGCTTGAATATTCTGAACATTTTGCTTGGTTGATTACTCTGTAAAAACAATGTATTCCCTGAAATCTTTATGCAAATTATGACAAAAGATGTTGTTTTATCATTGGCCAAAAGCATTCCTTTTTTCTTTTCAGTTCTAATCTTCTTTAGCTATGATGGCGTTAGAAGCCTATGATTTTTTTCTCCAAAATTTATGCATAGCGAAAGCATTGAAAAACTGGAAGACATCTATTAAAATCGTAAAAACACAAGGATTGGGCATAATTAAAATTTTATTTTTGGAAGATTTACATACATACCACTCAATTTCTATCTATTTTAATATCTAACTCTTAAAACTTCAATTTTTACATGTATATCATCTTAGCTATGCATGAAAAAGTGTGTTTCATTTTTTTTAAAGTTAAAGTAGTGATATTTTTTATGTTGTATGAAAGATTTTGGGTGACATTGTCGGCACTAAAAAGTTGTTTTGTGGGTGTCGCCCGTAAGAAGCTGTCGGCAGCCGGAATTGAAATCCCATCGCCCGCTTCGAAATGACGTTTTAATTTACATATATATATATATATATATATATATATATATATATATTTATAAAAATATAAAAA